GAGCGGGAAAATATTGCCACTTTTTGTTTCTCTGGACATCTTTAAAATAAATTCATTACAGGCAAGTTTGTACCCCTTTCAAGTTCATTGTCTATGAATATTTGGGCCCTTAATTTTATTGTCACACACATTATCAGAAAGCAGAATTCAAAATGAATGTGATAATGTGTGTCAGAATAACAGGCATGTTCATCCAACTGGAAAATAATTGGAAACAATATGAGTCCAATCAAGATTATCTGGCTAGTGTTTATGAAACACTGTTTAAGGACTCAATATTATCATCAACTTACTTTGTCTTCAAATTACATTCAAAGTTCAAAATCAGTCTCACAGACACAACATCATACAGGGGCCATTCTTGCATTAGAAATAACCAAAAAAAAGGGGGGGGGGGAGGTTGTAATTTGGGGCCTAATCATGCAGTGAGAGTTGTGTAAGTGAACTGGAGTCTGGGATTTTACTCTGGATTTGGAGCCTATAACTGGGAGCAGAATGTGGCCCCTTCGAATTCAAGCATACAGTATTTTTATAAGTACAGTACCAAACAGCAGCCTGGGTGCTACACATGAAACCTGTTCTAGGCGATTACTGAAAAAAAATAATGGGAAACTTTGATGTGATTTTATTTTTTCAAATTCAGCCTTAATAAAGCCTTAACTCAGCAAACCACCCCATTCCTCAATGCAATTAAGCACATGCTTAAATGTAAGTGTATGCCTAAGTTTTGTTGACTTCCATGGGCTAAACATATGCTTAAATGTAAGCACAGGTAAATGAGTCAGATATTCAAAGCTACAGATGACAATAAGCGGCCACTGAGACTGACATAGACGTTGCTCAAAAATATCCTACTAGGCTTCTAGCTGCAGCTTTAGTTGCCGAAATACCTTTGGAAAGGTAGCCCTAAATCGGGGGGAACCTTTTTTGGGTCAAGGGCTAATGACCCACGGAAAAATCAGCCGGGGCTGCACAAAAATGAGAAATATCAAAACCCTCCAACAAAAACAAAACCTCACTGATGTGGCCCCCAACTGAGAAGCAGACACTCCCCACATCCTCCTCACACACCAGAGCTGGGGGGGAGGAGGGCTGAATTAGTAGATTGTGGGTCCCCTAGACTCTGCGATGGGTCCAAAAATGAGGGGTTCAGTGTGTTGCAGTGGGCTGCTGGGAAGCAGGCTTGGGGTATGGGCTCTAGGCAGGAGTGGAGTGCTCAGGAGCAGGCTGCGGGTTGGGGGGGTTTGGAAGGATGGTAGGGTGCAGGAGCAGCATGGGGGTGGTGGACCTGGGCAAGAAGGGGGGGTGCAGGACTGGGGCAGGAGTGCGGGGTCTGGGCAATGGAGTGGTGATTATGGCCAACTGGAGTGGTGGGAGAAAAGCTTATGCTGTGCTGCCATTTCCCCAGCTGGGGGAAGGAAGGGGGAATACGGAGTCACTTCCTCCCCCTGCCTGGTAGAGCCCGTGGGTCGGATCTGACTCCAGTTTGCCTAACTCCAGCCTGCAAGGGTCCTGGCTCTCCCTTGCCCCCTGCAGCTGGGAGCTGGCACTGGCGCTCCAGCCTTGTGGCCCACCAGTGCTGGAGGGAGGGGGGAAGAAGGGGAAAGCCCCATGCCTTGGGGGCCAGATCCTGTAGATTCCCCACCCCTGCCCTAAATGCTTTACTGAACAGGGACAGACCTAAGCATATGCTTAAGTGCTTTGCCATATCGCGGCCTAAAGTGGTTCCACCCAAAATGCAAAATAGGAAAGTTCGAGACAAGGAGAAGAGCTTGCCTTGTTACCTACTGCCTGCAATCAATCAAAACCGCAGAGGCCAAAGGGTAAGTATTTTGATGAACAATTCAGAAGCAAACAATAGGCTGAAAAGTATTTGCATGTAATAGTGGTCTGATAGTTCTGAACATGGAGGGAAAAAAAGGAAACTGTGATCTATTCCGTCTACCTAAGCACTTATATGGCCCTCATCATTGTCATCCTAATCTCTGAGCATCTTGCAACGATTAAGGGGTTTTATCCTCACGATACACTTGTGAGAGAGTTAAAATATTGCCTCTTATTTTAGAGAGTGGAAAGAGCAGATAAAGTAATTTGTCCCAGGTTGCACTTGATGTCTGCAGCTGAACTAGAATTCCAGCTCAAGTCCCAGTCAGGGGCTACCACCAGTAAACCATCCTTTTTCCTGCTAGTGTGCAGTTTGCAAACAAGAAATATCTTTACATACTGTATCAGATCATGCAAATAGTTCACCAAACTCTCATTTAAAGCTTTCCATGGTATTTGCTACATTATTCAGTCTCCTAGCAATGGAATTAACATGCGGGAAAAGGAGAATTGTGATCTCAGATCAACATGTTCCACTTCAGACCAGTTGGTATCATCAAAAGTGTCTTCTGACTTCATTTGTGTAAGGGGACTGTTACCCCTTACTAAAACTCTGTGGGAGTTTTTTGGTTTACCAGCTTCAGAAGGGGAAGGATTCATGAGACTGACAGACCCCAGAGACAATGGAAAGCAGTCAACACTCCAGCTCAGCCTGACTGACAGGTTGTAAGTGGGGATTGTTCTGGCTCTCTCTGAGCAAACAGGGAGCTGAAAGAGCAGAGCCAGCTGTGTGCAGAAGAGGTCCTGCAAAGACAGAGCTGAAAGAGGAGTACAAGAAGAAGTCCTGCAGCGACAGAACCAGACACAGACAGGCCAAGCAGTGCAGACCCTGTGTTGAGCAGCAGACTGGCAGTGCTCAGAAAGCCAAAAGGAACAGAGAAGCAACACAAGGAGCTGGAACTGGCCAAGCAGCACAGCCTGCAGCTGGATGTGGTGAGCTACTGGGACCTGCAAAGTGTGGGGAAAGGCTCTGGACTGGGAGAGGGGTCTGGCCACTTAGAGATTGAGGCTGTGTGGTCACTGCCAGTGCAAGCGTGTCCAGCCTGCAGCCCCTTGCAGCACATCCAGGGCTTCTAAGGAAGAGACTGTGAACTGTCCTTACACTCTGCAGACTGCTGTGTTGATGTCCCTGTGCTACAGAGCAGGGCTGTGTGTTCTCATTTAACCATTCTCATTGTTTCTTATTCTATTCTCTTTAATCAGTTGATGTTTAATAAATTGTATTTGCTTTGAACCTTATGAAGTGATCACTGGGCCAAGAAGGCCTGCAGTGTAAAGAGAGCACCTCGGAGTGGGGACACCCTAACTCCTGCCCCTAGTGACTACAAGGTCGGGGATTAAGCCCCAGGAAACCTGGGCCCAGTCTTGTTGGGGTTTCAAGGGCTCTGCTACTCAGGAGAGTGGAGGAGGAGCCCTCAGGAACAGGGGAGCCATGGGGTAAAGGAAGTGGGAGCGGGGACTCAGATCCTTTCGCTGGTTCATTTCACCGGGGTGTATAGAAGCCAGGAAAGTTCCCCACAATAGCGGGATCATTCCCCCTCTTACATTTGCACCCATTAGGGTACAGTATATTTCTCCATGGCAAAAACATCCCTGAGAGCCAACAGTATCAGAAATCACACGTTACAAGCAAGCAAGTGCAGTTTAGGGACAATTCTCAAGTTTCTCCTCCCTTAAGAGTTGCACTGAGAGATTAATTTATGTAGGTGTTGCACAGATGCAAAAATGTACAAGTTTAAAAAGACCACCATGCTGCTTTGCTGTAAGCAATCGTGATGTTCCAGTAAAGTGATTTAGTGTGAGTATTTACAGTTGCAATCTTACGCAGCCCACTTTCCAGAGCTATTTGCCCTGAGTTAGCTAGAAAAATCCGTTTATGGTCCTGGAGTTGGAAACAAAATGTTGAACTAGTTTCAGCAAGGAATAACTTTGACTGACATGAGTGCAGGAACAAAGTGGCTATGTCTGAGGCAGGAACGGATTTTTTGAATGCAAACTGTTGCATAGACAGAATGAAGAGAAAACTGATTACTATTTATATATTTTTGTTAGCATTTAAGGGTGTGACTACACAGCACCCTAAACTCGAAATAAGATACACAATTTGCACTATGCAAATTGCACTATGCAAATGGTCATCTGAAAAAGTGGGCTGTGCCCACGAAAGCTCATGATACCATCCACATGTTTTGTTAGTCTTTAAAAATTTTATCCTGTACAGACTAACTTGGCTACCCCCTGAAGATTTTGAATAAGTTATTTCAAAATTTGGCACATCTACACAGTGCAAAATTTCGAAATAATGTGCGATTTTGAGACTTCCCTTAACCTTTGTGGAATGAGGGTTACAGGGATGCCAGAATAGCACGCACGTTATTTCGAAAAATATATCAAAATAACAGGCGCATTTCAAAGATGGGGGGTAGCTATTTCGGGATACCTTTGGTATCCCGAAATAGCCCCAGTGTCTAGACATACCCTAAGATACTACAGGACCGTTGGTATTTTTTAAAGTTTTTTTTCACTAGCAAAGAGTGAGTGAAGGGTGTAAAAATCCTGGTCTCTTATCTGCAAATTTAATTTTTATCAAGGTGCTGATCCTATACCACAGATGTCCTTTAAGTGGAGGTTTAGGATTAAAAAGCATATCAGCTATCCCTCTGAGGTGTCAGAATTTTATTCTTGACTGATAGTTTCCTGATTGTTTTCCACAGCAAGCACTGAAAATAATAGGCAGTTGGTTGATTGGCTTGCTCGGTGGTGACCTGATCCACTGACTTCTATGGATGTTGGGTCAGTTTCTGGGTTATCTGAGATATAGAATCTTCCACCTCTAGTGTTCCGCCCACAGCAGGTCAGTGGTGACAGAAAGCCGTTACACGTTCCTGGCTGTGCAATGCATTGGAGAACATAAAAGAAGTGAGTCTAGATCCATTTCCCATTATATAGCTGTCCACATCATACTTGGCAATAGAGTTTTGTCAGGATTCGATATATCACAAACACCTCCACGCCTACAGGGAGGCTAGCCAGGTCAGAGCCGAGAAGGATGGGCAGCAACGAAGCAAATTAGTGGCATTCTGAATGAAACAGAACTTCAGTTTCTGCAGCTGTCATTTGCTCCTCAGCCTTTTGGCGAAGAGCAGATGTATGTGATCTTATCAGTTTAAGATCTGATGCTTCTTCTGTCTGGGGCTGCATCACACATAGATTTTTGGAACAGGGAGCTGGGCTAGGGACTTATTTCATCCACTATATGCATCACTCCGGTACTGCAGTGTCTCTGCCCCTCTTGACCACATGATAATCACACAAAATATTAATTTAAAATATGTTGGTAAGAAATAAAAGGCAAGGGAGCAGTGGAAATCGTGAGCTTTCCCACAGCTTTTCCACAGCTAACACCTAGAGCTAGGCCTGTAA